CGCCCAAGTGCTTTGGTGAGAATATCCGCTAGTTGAGATTTTGTAGAAACATGTTTGGTAGCAATGGTCCCTTGGATGATCTCGTCTCAGATGAAATGACAATCCATACCAACATGTTTGGTTCGAGCATGGTAGACCGGATTCTTTGCTAAATTGATTGCAGACAAACTGTCAGAATGGACAACTGTAGGAGCACGACAGTCAATGCCAAGAGCAGGAAGCAACTGTTAAAGCCATAGGATTTTGGTGGCTGTATCCGCCATAGCTTGATACTCAGCTTCGGCGGAAGAGAGAGAGACCACAACATGTCTGCGTGTTTTCCAAGATATTGATGAATCACCAAGCTGAATAAACAACCCCGTTAAAGAGTGTCGTGTAAGTGGACAAGCTCCCCCAGTTTGCATGAAACCAAGCTGAGAGAGTCAATTTTGTGTTGGTTTTGAGCATAATACCTTGCCTCAAACTGTTCTTTAAGTACTTGACAACTCGAAGTGCAGCTTTCCAATGAGCCACCTTTGGATTATTTATGAATTGAGAAAGTACATGAATAACATAAGAGAGTTAAGGACGAGTGATACCCAAGTAAATCAGACGACCAATCAAACGCCTATAACGGGAAGGTTCAGGCATATCTTCGCCATCCGCTAAAGCAAGTTTATGGTTTTGTTCAAGCGGAAAGGTAACGGGTTGTTCCTCGAGAAGTCCAGTTTCATAAATTATATCAACTGCATATTTCCGCTGACAGAGATAGATACCACTCGGACCGCGAGCCACTTTGATACCTAAGAAGTATTGTAAAACTCCCAAGTTCTTCATCCAAAAACAAGATCTCAAATAGGCTTTGAAAGACTCGATGACGAGAACAGAGTTTCCTGCAATAACCAGATCATCGACATATATTAGAACGTGTAACTGATTACCATCCATTTCGTGCTGGAACCCGTATTGTGCCATAGCCGTAGCAAGCTTAGCGAACCAACAGTGAGGAGCCTGTTTCAATCCGTAAAGCAACTTCCGGAGACGACAGACTCTGCATTTATCCTCTGTTCTGAAACCTGGAGGGAATAGCATATAAACCTTTTCATCGAGATCACCATGGAGAAAGGCATTGTGGACATCCATTTGGTGAACTTTCCAATTATTGGAAGCAACTTACTGAAGAAAAGCTCGAATAGTAACCATCTTCGCGACAGGTGCGTATGTTTCATTGAAGTCTTCACCTTCAATCTGGTTGTTTCCGAGAACCACCAGACGTGCTTTATGTCGCTCAAGAGTACCGTCAGAGTTAAACTTCAGCCGGAAGACCCATTTGCAGTCAAGGGCCTTCTTTCCTGGAGGCAAGTCTTCAACCGTCCAAATGCCTTGATCCTCCAAAGCAACAATTTCGTCGCTTGCAGAAAGACGCCATTTTTCATCTTGAATAGCATCTTTGTAGTGTTTGGGGTCGACTTGTAAAGTAATAGCAAGTATATACTGTTGGTAAGAATCTGAAAACTGTGCGCTGAGCAGATAATTATCAAAGCAGATAAGGTGTAGCAGAAGGATACGGCTGAAGAAAAAAGATAGTAACATAATCCTTAAGTTTAACAAACCATTGGTGAGTTCGTAAACCACGACCAATGTCCTCTTCGTCGGTTGTAGTATCATCGGAGGAAGGAGATTCATGACTATCGGCCTCTCGATCAGACTCATGAACTACATTCTCTGGATCTGATTCGTGAATAGCACTCTCAGGATCAGATTCGTGAGTAAGATTATCTGTATTGGGAAGATCAATTGATGATGATTCAACTGCAGTTGGAGTAACAGCTGAATCGATAGATTGAGACAAGTTGTGAAGTGGTGAGGACACATGGGAAACTGGTGACAGAGGAGTAGTACTCAAAGGAGACGGAGCTTCGCTGATGTCAGAAGATGGAGCCGCCGTTGTCACACCTGAAGGAGGCAACTGAAACGGATCATCAAGTTTGATAAAAGGAGCAGTAGACAACTCTGGCATGCCTAATAGAGATGATGTTAGTTCCTTGTCAGTAAACGGAAAGTTATTTTCGCAAAAAATAACATTCCAAGGCACAGTAATCATGCCTGTTTCGAGATTATAGATGCACCAGCCCTTCTTCCCGAAAGGGTAGCCGAGAAACACTAATTTTTGTGTACGACTCGCGAATTTATCCCTGCCATGTTTTTGATTGTGAGCGTAACATAGACATGAAGGTGATTCAACGGAGGAAGCTTCTTGTAAAGGAGCTCATAAGGTGTCTCCCCATTCAAAACTGCAGAAGGCGTGCGATTGATCAGATATCCAGCAGCTAAAGCACAGTAACTCCAGAATTAAACTGGTAAATTGGCTTGGAATCGAAGTATTCGTGCCACATTGAGAATATGGCGATGTTTTCGCTCTACTCGCCCATTCTGTCATGGAGTTCGAACACAAGACGTTTCATGGATGATGCCTTTGTCTCTGAAATAATCAGTCAAATACATAAATTTTGTACTGTTATCAGAACGAATCTTTTGAACTTGAGTTCGAAACTGTCGTTCGACTAAGGATAAAAAAAATTCAGATGAGTTGGTGCAGCGTGTTTATTTGGCAAGAGATAGATCCAAAGAACACGAGAGAAGTCATCTAATATTGTGGAAAGTATTTAGAGCCGCCAATGGATGTAGTTCGGTATGGCCCCCATAAATCACAATGGATTAGCTCGAAAATCATATTCATTTTATTAATGCTTAATGGAAAGGATTCTCTTGTTTGCTTAGCACGGATACAAACTTCACATCCTTGAGAATCTAAAATACTACTACTTAAATCTGAAAAATTCAATAACTCCAAAGCTTTCGAAGATAGGTGTCCCAAGCGACTATGCCAAAGCTCCAAAGAAGGTCGATTTGAACCTTGTATCGCCGCTGCAACCTCCATTCCCTTAAAAAAATACAGACCATTCAACTGCTCACCCGCTCCAATCAAAATTTGTGTGTTGCGTTCCTGAACAACACAAAGACGGTCAAAGACCTGGAAGACACAATTCCTATCTCTGGTCAATTGCGAGACTAAAATCAGATGACTACGAAGCCCATCAACAAAGAACACGTTCTGAAGACAGAGAGAAGATCCCATAAAAACTTTACCGTGTTTAGTAGAAGTAGTGAATCTTCCATCTGGAAGCTTAATCATTATTAGTGCTATATCATAAACATCAGTTAGATAATCAATGCTTCGCGTCATATGATTTGAAGCCCATGTATCAATTATCCAAGACTCGATGAAAGATATACCTGAAGACGGATTGGTTGGTTTGCGATCATTAAGCATGTTCACCAATGTTTTCCATTATTGATCGTTTAGTCCACTGAACACAATGCGATTTACTGAAGTAATGGTAGGCGTGGAGGCAGCGCAGTGAGTTTGTTGCGAGTACGTTCACCCCACCAAGATGGATAACAGATTTTCTTGAAAAAATTTTCAGTTATATGACCTTATTTCCGGCAAAGCGTGCACATCACTATCCCACTAGAAGTATCTTGCATCGGAAAGGATCGATTTTTCGTTTGAGCTGCAAAGCTAACACCACCAGCTCTTTCTTAGACAAGAAAGAGATATTGATTCTTTATCTTGTGTAAGAACATTGTATGCTTCGCCAAGCGAAGGAAGAGGATTCTGTGAAATAAGTGAAGATTTTACAGCACCAAACAAGCCTTCATCAACTCCCATAAGAAACTGATGCAGCTTGTCTTCCTCTCGCTCACGAGTGATATCCTCCAAAGTCTTTCCTTGTTGATAATCAGCTAGACTCGTCCAGAGTTTGGTAAGCTTCCCGAAGTAAGCTTCAATCGGAGATCCTTGTTGACGACACGTAGCCAACTCAGTTTTAAGACGTTGCACTCACTGTCCGTTTTTCATAGGGAATCGTTTCTGGATCTGAATCCAAAGACTGAATGCATTTTCATAGTAAGAAAGGGAGGATCACAGGTTTTCTTCGATTGTTAGTTTGATCCAGGAGATTACAAGGACGTTATTAGCACACCAGTCCTCATAATCTTCAGAATCATCATCAGGCTTCAATATAGAGCCGTCGGTGAATCCGAATTTTTTGTGTGCTTTTAACGCCAATTTAATGCTTGCAGATCACTCATCATAAGTAGGACCGCGCAATAGAATTCGTGAAATAATCATTCCAAGGTTATCACTGGATGACAAGTCATAAGGTGAAATTGTACAACGTGTTGTTTCAACATGTTGTGTCAGCTTTGATGATATTGTTGTGTGTTCGCCAGTCGACATTAAAAAAAAAAACTTCGATAAAATAATCGAGAAACTTAGATAAAATAATCGAGAAACTTAGATCAATGAGAGGAGAAAGAGATAGATAACCAGAAAATCTAGATATTAAATTTAATACTTTAATACTATATCAAGAATCTTTAATAGTTGTAAAATGATTTCTTATTCATCAATATACAAAAGGGTTGCCTAATATACGAGATAATATTAAGTTTAATGTTTAACCTATAATCTATACAGTTACCCAATAGAATGGACCAACTAATATGTTCGATCCATAATAAATGAGGACGAGTACATAGCCTTAACACCACACATTAGGGATTTATATTCTTTTCAAAATCGATGTGCCGAAATCGACTTATATTTGTTAGCTAGCTTATAACTGTTCAAAATCAATATCAACAGTTAACTAATTTTGAACCTAACTTTGCGTGGGAGTGAAAATTGTTTTGGTCACTTGGAGAATTTTGGTCACTCTCCTAATAAAAATGGTGTAGAGTTTTTGTGTTCGTGTGTAGAGTGGTTCACACAGAGTATGTGATGAATAAGGTTTAATTATTGTATACAATTTAAATATTACAAACTCTCTCTCTCACACATTGCAAATAGAGTTTGAATGACACATAGAAATAAAAGTGACTCTCTAACAATTAGGGCTAGGTTCGAGAAACTGGTATTGAAATGCGGAAGAAGAGAGTGTATTTGGGTAAGTGACTCAATACGCAGGAGCAGCGAGATCTTCCTCCTCTTTGTTCTCTTGGCATCGTTTTAGCAGCTGAAGTTGGCGTCTAAGATGCAATACCTGTAATAACAAACCCAAATTCACAATGTTACTTCATCTGCTTCACAGATTCGATTTCACCAATCACCATGTAATATCCTAAAGATGAACTTTTAAAATAGCCATTTGCTTCAAGAAAGATCAGCTTTAGTGTAGAATTATGATGATACTAAGAAACAGAATTGGGTAAAAGATAAGTTACCTCTTCTTGAAGCATAGTTGGGAGGGAAGCCATGGAAATGAGCTGTTTCATTTGGTGCATAAGAGCTTGGTCTTTGATCCCTGACCATGTCTGTGGAGGTAATGCCAACAGAAGTGCAGTGAACACATCGTTCCCATCCGGATAATTTGCCTCCGGACCACATTCACAGTCGACTTGTGTCGACGGCACCAATAGATCAACCTTTTGTTCGCTCCCGTCACGCACCACGACTCCGGTCACCACCGTGCCTTCCGCCGTCTCGCCAGGACCTTTGACACATGTCACACAAGTCTCCCGACAACAGAACTCTTTTGATGAGCATCCGGATAAGATCTCAGCTCCTTGGCAACAAGCCTTTGCAGCCGCATATGTCATACTGTCTTCGTAACCCACTGAGGATAAGAACTTGCTGATGTGTTTGAACAGTTCGGTTTCATGCACTTCTTTCAGCACCACTTGCTGCAGTAGATTAACTTGAGATTAGACTTGTACAAAATTCAAGATCGTCCAAAGAACAGAATGAAAATGTTCTAACTTCAAATGAGAGAACTAAGAAATTGGTTACTGTTATTGACATATTGTGTTTCATTGGTCAGTGTTCATTCAAAAGGATGAATAGTTTTTTTCATGCAACTTTGGGTTTTGGTAACCAAAATATACCTTTAAGTTCAGCCTTGATTTCTCCTCTGGGCTGAGATTTTGGTTTGAGTCCTCTGTTATTCTGATCTCAGCCACCCATCTGATGAACTGGTTGAAGTTTGAAGGAAGTGACTTGAACACAACAGATAAGATTTTATCCACACTATCTACATGCTGGGAGCTTACAAGACGAGGAACATCTTCTTTCAAATACTTAGCTATGCTGATCCAGCTTTCATCTTTGCAGCTCTGTAACATATATATAGGCAATATTATATATATGTTACATTGATATGTAGACTAATATTCACATTCACATCAAAACAGTATAAAAAGAAGATGCAGAACATACCAAAGTGTAGAGCAATCCAGGTTCTCTGTGGGGTCTAGATATAAGCATGAATCTGAAAACAACACAGAACTAGTTCAGACCATATTCTATAAAAACACAGTCACATCCATGATACAGTAAGAACTTAAGAGAAAAGCTAAAGAAATGAGTATATGTACCCTCTACGTTTCCCTGTGGACTGATCAATGCTGTCCATGGCTTCCCAAAGAAGTTTAAGAGGAACCCAATGAGGAGGATACTTGAAACGTGCAACGTCAAGAATCAAAGCCATGTCTCTTTCAGCATTATATCCACCTATAGGTGAGAAATGACCAGACCCAGTCTGCAATAAGATTTGTTAGATTCCCGATTCAACATGACAAGAACACTCACAAGCTCACCAAGAAAGTTACCTGCTTGAATACGCCTCTGTGATACGTTGAGATCATATGGCAATTATCAGAAGTGGAGCATTTCACAACAAAGTTGCGGAAATTCTCAAGGGTGCTCTGATTCGTGCGGAAAGCTTCCACTTTTGCACCTGAACAATGAGCCAAACACACAACTTTCCCAAATGAGATCCCTTTGTCCTTCACTACTTCCAGTGGCTCGCAGCAATCCAGCATTGATTCATCAAACCATCTCCAAGGCCCTATTGCAAGAAAAATAATCAATAATCCATCATGAAATGTGGACATGTAGACATATTTTCCAAATCAGTAATAAACTATATATACCTTTCCATTTTCGTCCAGGATCGATAGAGAGAGCATTCAACACCACTGAGAGGCTAGCCAAACCGCAATACGCAGGCTCGGATTGCGTCTGGAAATAAGAAATCAGCCTGAAAAAACCTTCCATGGTGCCTTTCTGAAGCGCTTCATTGAAGATTAGCTGCACACAGTGATCATAATTTCAACAACTCAGATGAGAAACAGCAAATACTTTTAGTTTTAGACAGTAACCAAGCAACAACAGATCCCTGTAATAAAATTAACAAGCTTACTGCTTCTAGGACTAATTAACTGTGCAAGTGTGGTTGAAATTTCCAGAATTTTGTAGATATTCTTAAATATTGTTAGCTAATTCGTGAATTATTCGGATCTCACTAAATCAACCAACAACAGATCTCTGTAATAAAACCAACAAGCTTACTACTTCTAGTAATAATGAACTGAGCAAGTGTGGTTGATATTTCCAGAATTTTGTATCGTTGCTAATTCGTGAATTTATCAGATCTCACTAATCACTGACCTGAGAAGGCAGACAAGTGTTGATTCATATAAGCTACATTTTGTGTTTTTTTTTTCCTGAGTGATTTCGATTGATCGATATCCATCAATTGTGGAAATAACATCCAAATCCAGAAGGTTAATGTTGAATTAACACTAATTTTAGTAGTTAATTAGTAAGATCTCGTGAGTAAGAAAGGCAAGATAAACAAATCGAGAACCTGTACATGACAAGCAAGATTTGCGAAACACAAAACCTAGTTTTGCATCTTATGAATTAAAAAAACTTGATCCGTACCTTGCCTTCGGCGGAAGAAAAGTCAATCGCCGGAGGAGAAGGAAGAGATCGCCGATACAAACTCGCCATCGCCATTTTCCACGGGTTTCTTCGAGGTATTAGTATATAGTAAAAAGAAATCGCAGAGAAGAACAAAACTTGCGCTGGAAGATTCGTGAGTGGATTCGAAAAAGGAAGCGCAACAACTTTTACGAACTGTTTTAACTTTCGGCGTTAGATTCGAAAAATGGGAAGACGATTGCTTTCGTATGTATACAGAGAGAGAGAGAGACTCAATTATTCGAAACTCCAAGGTCAACGCTCTCTCTCTCTTCGTCGGTCAAGTCAAACGTGAAATGCGCGACGAAACGCCGTTAAGTGACCTTGTCAAAATCATCCGGTCCGGTTCGGTTTGATTGGTGTTACTGGTACATCGCATGATGTAAGGTAGTTTTTATAGGAAATGCTGAAAAATATATGCATAACAAGTAACTTATAAGGGGAATTATTTGATTTATTACAGAACTGAGATAAATTAATGGGTTTGGATGTTTCATACTTGGTTCGGTTTGGTTCGACATAGAATCCGGATGATCAAACGGAACTGACGGCGTGTAGTCGCCGTTAGTGTCTGGTCAAAGTTGGCGCGATTGTGGGGAGACTTCTTGAACCAGTCGGGTAAGAGGATTCTGGTTTATTTGTAGCGAAGCGTCTCAATCATAATTAGTTTATGAGAAGGAAAAAAAAAAGAACCAATTTGGTTCCACATCATTGTGAAAATATAAATTACAATTTGATTGAAGTCTAGAAAAAAATAGAGATTATACAAGTGTTACAATCTATCCAACTTGTCAATTACGTGTTGAAACCTTTGAGTGCTGAATTTAAAGACTTTTATAAACTTTAAAGTGTTATAATATAAATTGACTCTAAAATTTAATACAAAATCTAAAGACTTTTGTAAAAGTTGTTAGTTTTTTTAACCGGTTTTTTTTTCTAAACAACAGAATAAAAACAAGAAATTGGAAGTAGGCCTTGGTTTTGTGAATTGTGGTCGTCTCATTTCCTCATGTTTTAGTATGCCACCTCGTACTGATTACATTATTTGTAAACTTTGTAAACTTGCAAATTAGCAATACACCAAAGAACGAATGTAATATACAGACCAGACCAGTATGTGTACTCTAGGAGTTGATTGGTTAGTTGATTGGTTAGGGTGATAGTTAGATATTATTAATTGCCGTAAAATTTAGTTTGTGGACTTTAAAATTATATTTTTCTGTGGAAGAAAAAACTACAGCTTCTAATTTTTTCAAAAGATAAAATAATTGATTTCGTAAAAGAAGAAAAAAAAAACTATGGAAAAAGAATATATATAAGGGTAAAAAAGATAAAGAATTTTAGATAGAATCCACATAATAGTAGACATATTTTATCAACTCTATAATTTTTTCAATATATCTCACAAGGTCGTACTAATTGGGATTTTCATGTTAACTGTTTAGTTGTTCTTGGTAGTTTATTTTAGATAGATATATTACTATATTAGCATGTAACTGCGTATTTATCTGGTGTAAATACTGTTGGATAAGAGTAGGACTCCTTAATCAGATTTAAAACAACAAGCTATACAATGTTTGAGATTCTGTATCACCAGTAAACAAGAGAGAACAGCTTTACATAAAAAAAATATTATCATTTACAATTTTATTAAAATTTTGATGAATTTATGGAAAAAAAAATCCATTGATGAATATATTGTTATGTAAAGAACAGAAATCAAATAAAAGCTTAAGAAATAAAAAAGGTATGAACAATATTTTTATATTAGATTGAAATGAGATCAGTTTTAAAATAGATTTTACAACAACTGAAAAGCAAAACAAATTCTAAGCTAATGTAATTCTTAATTTTTACAAATTTGGAAGACTTGTTCAAATTGAAAGTTAAAAAACTAAACCAAATGAAACTTATGGAACGAGCATGAAGAAATTCACAATACTTTTTTATCTTTTGAGTTCTTCCTCTAAACTGGAATAGCTCTTTCTAATTTACTTTTCTCTGCAGCAAACTCTCATTCTTCCTTTAAATTTTTCGAACATTTCAAGTTTGACAGCTTTAGTCATGATGTCCCACAATTGTTCTTACATAGCACAACAATCCAATAGTATAACTCCATTATTCACCAATTTGCACAAAAAAATGATATATTATGTGGTTGTGCTTGCTCATACCGTGTAATACTGAATTCCTTGATAGCTTGATGATGGAATTGTTATCACACAAAAAATATGGTTTCTTCCCCTTGAACTGATCCAATTTATTGTAGTATGTTTCTTAACCACACCGTCTAACATGCTTCATATGCTGCTGCAACAAACTCAGTTTTTGTTGTGGACAAATTCACTATGAATTACTTCTTTGATGCCCAAGAAACAGCTCCTCCTCCAAGCAAGAAGATATATCCCAAAGTACTCTTGCGATCATCAACATCTCCTTCATAATCAATGTTCATAAACCCCACCAGATTATGTTCTCCTCATTGCTTGTACTGAATACCATACCCTGATGCTCCTTGAACATATCTCAGAATCTGTTTTGCAGCTAACATACATTGCTCATTTGGACTCTCCATGTATCTTCTCACCAAAATTACTGAATATATCAAATCAGGTCTAGCAGCAGTCAAGTACCTTAGACTCATATTAAGTTGTTTGAATGTGGTTAAGTCGATTTCATCTCCCGCTCCTGCCTTTGACAGTTTGTGACCCGACACAATTGGATTCTTCACCATATAACAGCTTTCTATTCCATACTTCTTCAAAGTCTCTTCAGCATATGTCTGTTGATTAATGAATATTCCTTGTTCATCTTGAATCACTTCAATGCCTAAGAAGTATTTCATCTTGCCAATATCTGTTATAGAGAATTCTTTTTTTACTCTTGAAGTCTTCCAGCATTGATACTTAACTCTCAATATATATTAAATCATCGACAAGGAGACTTACAATTAGGATGTTGTCCCTTTCTCTCTTCACGAACAAAGTGTGCTCATAGTAGCACTTCTTAAATTTCTCTTTCACAAAGTACCTTCAATCCGACTGTAACAGGCTCTAGACACCTGTTTTAACCCATACAAAGCCTTGTTTAGGTTGTAAACCTTGTTGAGTCCATCTTCTACTTTGAACCCTTTTGGTTTCTCAACATAGACATCTGCACTCAATTTTTCATGTAGGAAAGCACTATTCATATCAAGTTAAAACACGTGCCAACCCTTCTCTACAGTTATAGCAAGAACTGATCTAATAGTATCCCATCTTGCTACTGGTGCAAAAAATCTCATGAAAATCAATTCCATACTTCTGATGATATCCTTTTGCCACCAGTTTTGCTTTGAATTTATCAATCTCCCCTTTCTCATTGAACTTTTCTTTAAAGACCCATTTTACACCGATCACCTTTGCTCCTTCTGGTAAGTCCATCAGCTCCCATGTATTGTTTTCTTGAATTTATGCAATCGCAGCTTCCATTTCCTTTCTCCATACATCATCTTACACTGCATTTCTAAAGCGATCATGATCTTCGAATGCTATAAACATTGCAGTGATGTCTTACCCATCTTCAGTAATCAGAAAACCTGAATTTCTGCAACAGTCTTAAATCCACATTGGTGCTTACCTTTGTCTCCTTTTTCTCATTGGTGTTTGATGAGGACTGTTTCATTACATTACCACTGCTTTTACTTTGTGTTCTCTTCTTCATATGTGTTCCCCTCTGACAGTGGCTCCTCAGGTGCATCTCCTTCTTGAGAATCCATTGGTAATTCCTTAGTATTCCCTACTTTTTCTGACTCTGTCACAATCTAATCCCAAGAAAGTTCCTTACTCTGCAGACTTTCTTCCCATTCCCGGCTTTTGTTTTCATTAAAGTGAACATCTTTACTTACAATAGTTTTCTTTGTCTTCGGATTGTAAAGACAGTATTCTTTAGACTCTTTCCTTAGACCAAACATCACGCATTTAACACTCTTTTCATTAAGCTTAATTCTCCTTTCATAAGGTACCAAGGAAAATGCAGCATAACCGAATACTCTCAAATACTCCACTGATGGCTTGTGTTGGCTCCACCATTCTTCTGGTGTGACGTCTCCTAAAGCTACTGATGGACTTCTATTCAGTATATGAACTACATATTGAACTTTTTCTAGCCAAAAATTCCTAGGTATTGTGATATAAGAATAGATTTCACCAAACTTAGCACACTTGAATCAAGATATTTCAAGCTAGTTGATGGAAGTGATTAAATGATGAGTAACTGCTTTGTTGATTGATTCCACAAGCAACCGTTTGAGACTCTAGTTTCCAAGGGGTATTCTTCGCATGGACAACAAGACTCTCCAAGATTTGTAAGCTCTCTGATTCCACTAAAAATCTTAGAACTCGCAAGAACAAATGATTCAAAGAAAAATCTTTCTTTAGAAGCAAATAAAGGGGTTTTTGTTTTATAAAAAGTTGTCAAATGAAATATAAAGGTGTTGAGCTTATATAGTGCTCGAATAATAAAACTTAAAACAGTCATAAACATAAAAACAAGCATGAAATTCGGCTTCAGTGAAGATAATATGTTAACTAGCCGTTGATATATCATGGTTTTTATGGGCTTTAACCATGGTATAAGTTCTTTTTAATGAGTTTTTTTGGTCTTTTTAGAGTCCTAGTAGAGTCTTTGCAGGTTATAAAATCTCTGGAGCATAATTGGAGATGTTGAAGCTTTTTGGAGCATTGCAAGATGAAGTCACGAAGTATGCAACTCGGAAGAAAAGTATGGATTTGGGTGACGCTCGTCACCACATATGGTGATGCTCGTCACCCGTAGAGGAAGGCTCGCGGCTGATTTGTTAAAAGATTGAAGATTATTTGCAGAATTGGCCCAGAAGTTTTAGTATTTGCAAGAACACCCCAGATCGTGTTTTAGCTTGTATATATTAGGTTTTCAGCCATTGTTGGCTTTTATCTTAGATTTTGGAGAATTCAGAGAGTTTTGAGAGAGGATTTTATTCAGAGTTTTTGGGGAGACAAATCTTGTACTCTTTTTGGAGAAGATTTTGAACTCCTTTGTTTTTATTTCATTCTTTCAATGCAATTTTATTCAGTTATGTTTTGTGATTCCATGATCATGTCTGAGTAATTTGCTAGTTAAGTTAGGGCTTTTCAAAG